AGGTGCCACACTGGACTTGATTGTTTGCAGCTGTGTGCCAGGTGCTACACTAATTGCCCAAGGCGTTGCTATAGCACTGCAACTATGATATATGCAAATATCTGACTGCAATTGAAAATTAGCCCTCTCATTCTGGAAAGTAGTTTAAGATAAAATGTCCACGTGCATTTTATTTTAGTATCGAAAGAACTATATATCTAAACTAACTGGAGAAGGTATAGGAACAGCTGTTTTTGTTATAGCTGTCACAGGAAAATTGGAATTTGAAAATCTGAGTTGTGACAGTTTGAAAGGGGGCCATTTAAAAGTTAAAAATTTTAATTGCCACATAGTTTTAATACTCAAAACTAATTATATATATTCACGGGACATACATTGACATTGCAGTATATGTATGCAATGCATAGTGATCACATCAGAATATTGATGATATCTCCACCTCCTCAACATGCATCGTGTCTTTGGGTGGATAATTTTTAAAGCCTGACCTACTGGGTATTTTGAAATACACAATTATTTTTCTGATCTCCAGTTACCCTCCTGTTTTGTTGGAGAGTAGCAATTGCCTTGGCTAGCCAACTGTTCTGTATGCACACTAACCGGAGTCTCCAGCCCCTTTTCCTCCATTCTTCTTACCTTGTGCTAACTACTATCCTCCTCTCAATTTCTATGAAAGCCAAGTATTTAGCTTCCTTGTGTAAGGCACTGTAATATTTGCCACTGCATTCCTGGCTTAGTTAGCAAAATATTTCCTAGCTCTAGGATGTTGTGGAAATGACAGGATTTCGTTCTTTTTAGGGGTTGGTAATATTCCATTGTGCTGCTAATACTACATTTTCTTTATCCATCCACTCAAGTTGCTTCCATACCTTGACTATTGTGAATAAGACTGCAGTAAGCATGGGGGCATTGATGCATTTTTTTTTACATACTAACTTCATTTCCTTTGGACATATGCCCAGTTAGGAGGCTTCTGGGTCACATTCTAGTTCTGGTTCTGTTTCTGGTGTTTTGAGGAGCTTCCATGCTGTTTTGCCTAAGCCAGTACCCGGAAGTACTTTCCCCTATGATTTTCCAAGTAGTTTCATGCCTTACATGTAAGTCTTTGGTCTATTTAAAGTTGAGTTTTGTATGTGGTTTAGTTTCATATATAATAGATAAGGTACAGAGAAACCCTGTCTCGAAAAACCAAAAAAAAATAGATAAGGTAATGTTAATATATCATACAATGTGTGTGTGTGTAGTTCTCCAAGGATCATTTATTGGAGATACTTCGCCAAATGTATATTCTTGGTGCCTTTTAAAGAAATTAGTTATTTCTGGGTTCTTTATTCCATCGTGTTGGTCAACCTGTCTGATTTCATGCTAGCACTGTGATGTTTTGGCCACAGCAGTTTCACATGGCATCTTTTGAAGTCAGATATTATTATGCCCCCAGCTTTGTTGTGTTAGCTTTTGCTCGGAATTACTTTGGCAGTCCAGGCTTTTTTGCAGTCCATGTAAGTTCTTTTAAGAGTGTTTTCTTTTGTTTCTGTGATGATGTCTCTAGTATTTTGAATGATGTTGCATTGAATTGATAGATTGCATTGAATAGTATATGTCACAGTATGGATTCTTCCATCCCAGGATCATGAGGCATCATTCCAGGCTGCTGTTGTCTGCCCCCGTGTCTTCTGTCCCCACCCACTGTGTGTGTGTTTCAATTTCTTTTTATCAGTGCTTTATAGATTTTGTTGTAGGGTTCTTTAACCTCTGTGGTCAAATGGATTTCTAGGTATCTCTACAGGCATTCCAAATGGCATCATCCTCTTGATTTCTTTTTTGTTGTATAGAAATGTAAGCTAGATGGATTGTTACACATCTTCAATCCCAGAACTCAGGAGGCAGGGGCAGGTGGATTTCGCTGAGGTCAAGGAATTCAAGGCCAGTCTGGTCCGCATACTGAGTTCTAGGCCAGTCTGACCTACATAGTGAGCCCTTATCTCAAAAATTCTAAAGAAAAAAGATTTATTTATTTATTTTTATTTTATGTGTGCAAATGTTTTGCATGCATGTCTGTCTGGGCACCATGTGCATGACTGGTGTCTATGGAGACCAGAAAATGCGCAGGAACCCCTGTTTCTGGAGTTGCAGATGGTTGTGAGCTTCCATGTTGAGTGCTGAGAACCAAACTCCTGGTCCTCTACAAGAGCAGCCAGTGTGCTGAATTGCTGAGCCATCTCTCCAGCCCCCAGTACTAACTTTTGTATACGATTTTGTATTTTGTAACTTGTATATCAGTTCTAACATATTTTTGGTAGAGTCTTGTAGAATCTTTAGGCGTTTCTATGTGTAAAGTAGTGTTATCTGTAAATGGGAGATTTGACTTCCTCCTTTCCTACTGGATATTTATCTCTTTCTCTTGATTAAATTGTTTTAACTGAGAGTTTTAGAGGCCATATAAGAAATGATCGCCAGCCGGGCGGTGGTGGCGCACGCCTTTAATCCCAGCACTTGGGAGGCAGAGGCACGCGGATCTCTGTGAGTTCGAGACCAGCCTGGTCTACAGAGCTAGTTCCAGGACAGGAACCAAAACCACAGAGAAACCCTGTCTTGAAAAACCAAAAAAAAAGGAAAAGAAGTGATCGGAGTGGGAGCTCACGGACTCTGGGGCTGACAGCTGGGAATCCCGCATGGAACCAAACTAAGCCCTCTGAATGTGGGTGGCAGTTATGTGGCTTGATCTGTTGAGGGACCCCTGGCAGTGGAACCAGGACATACCCTGGGTACATGAGCTGACTTTTGGAGCCTATTCCCTATGGTAGGATACTTTGCTTAGCCTTAATACAGAGGGGAGAGGCTTAGTCCTGCTTCAACTTGGTGTACCAGACTCCCCGGGAGGCCTCACTTCCTCTGAGGAGTGGATGGGGGATGGGATAGGGAAAGGTGGGAAATGGGAAAAGGGGAGGGAGGGGGAACTTGGGCTAATATGTAAAATTTTAAAAATTTTAAATAAAAAAAAGTGATTGGCAGAGCTGGAGAAATGATTCCAATGAAGAGGATTGGCTGCACATAAAGTAATAAAATACAATTTAAAATATTCCTTGTCAATAGCTCTTCTTGGGAAGCTTCAGTTCTACTTCATAGTCATTCATTTCTTCCCAAAGCATTCTGGATTCGATTAAATCATGTTACTGATTTCTGAATATCGAAGTCAGGGGCTGGGATGTAGTTCAGTGGTAGAGTACTAGTCTAGCATATGTAAGGAACTGGGTTAATTTCCCAGCACCCCAGAAATGATCTCTACTAAAAGAATTTAGAAATTAATTTCCTTTAATGCTATTTAGAAAAATATAACCTAGACTTTGAAATTAATCTACGAGAGTCACTCTGTAAAATTCTTTTTGTCATCAGTATAATTTTGGGAGAGATGTCTGTTAAGGTATTTTGTCTATTTTTCTGTTGGTGTTGAGATCAAACTTAGGGCCATAAACATGGTAGGAAAATGCTCTATCTCTCAGCTACATCCCCAAACCTGTTCGGCTGGCCCATTTAAAATTTTTTGTTATTATATATATATACATGTATGGGGATACGTATACAGGAGTCCAGTTGCCTGTGGAGGCCAGAGAGGGTGACATATCCCCTGGAGTTGGAGTTTCAGGCCATTTGTAGCCAACTGAACTGGGTGCTGGAAACCAAACCTGGGTCCTCTGCAAGAGCAGTGTGTACTCTTAACATCTGAACCCTCTTTCCAGCCCAGTTTGGCACAAACTTACAGTGTTTGAATGTCTGGTGTTCCAGCACTATTCATTGAAAAGATTAGTTCTTCCTATATCCATAGACCTTGTCAATTTATTTCTGAGTTTTCTGTCCTGTTCCCTAAATATATTTATCTTTCGTTTGAGTGCCATTTTATCCTAATGGCTGTGGCATTATATAACTTTTGAAGTCAGTTATAGTAGGTCATTGCCCTACTATCCTTCAATACTGAGTTAGTTATTTTAGGTTCTTGTACTTCCATATAAACTTTAGAAGTTTATTGAAATTTTTGAGGTAGGGTCTCGTTATGCAGCTCTAGCTGGCCTAGAACTCTTTGTGTGAGCCAGGCTGTCATTGAACTCACAGAGATCTGTCTGCCTTTGCCTCTAAGTGCTAGGATTAGCACACTACCATGTGCTGGCCTTAGAATTCATATTTAATCTAGAAAATAACTTGTTGAGCTGTCTATTGGGATTATGTTTAATATACAGATCTAGTTGGACACCCATGTTGTTTTGTTGTTGTTGCTGTTGTTTGTTTTTCTGAGACAGGGTTTCTCTGTGGCTTTGGAGCCTGGCCGTGGAACTAACTCTGTAGACCAGGCTGGCCTCGAACTCACAGATATCCGCCTGCCTCTGCCTCTCCAGTGTTTGCCACCATTGCCCTATAGATCTAGTTGGAAAGAACAGGCATATTGAGCCTTCTTACTGGCTTACTGGACATTCTTAGTTCTTAGTTCTTTTTCATCCGACATTTGTAGTTTCTTTTGTAAGATCTTATGCATATTTTTGTTAGATTGCTACCTATGAATTTCCAGGATTTGATGCTAACGTAAAGACATCATGGCTTTTGTTGTTGCCGTTGTTGGGGGAAGGGGGTAGGTAGTTAAGACAGGGTCTCATTCTGTAGTTCAGGCTGATCTGGAATTATCTAGGTCAAGGTGGTGCCTCTGTTTGCTGAGTACTGGGGTTGCAGTTGTGAGCCACCATACTTGGATTGGCATCATGTTTTACATCTCGATTTCAGCCTGTTTGTTGCTGCCCTATAGGCATGCTATTGCCTGTTTTGGTTAACCTTCCATCCTCCAGCCCTACTGTAATGGCTTATTAGATTCAAGGGCTATAAGATACTATTTCAATTCTACTCATAGTCTATTTCCCTCTGTCAGTTGGCTATAAGTCTAAGAATACTAACACCGTTTCACGGTCCAAATCTGTTTCACTCCATCTATATTAAATTTCTCTCTTTTGTCCTCTAAGGTGGTGTGAGGACACCATGACAGTCACAGTGGTTTATGATAACTCTGAGGCAACAGAGCTCTGTGCTGCTCAGCACCTCTACCTCAAGCCTATAGCAAAATTAATGATCAACGTATTGCTCCCAGAATGTATAGAATCCGTGAGGCCCTTCTCTAATTGGGAAGTTCTTGACCAACTGAAAAGTTTGATTTGCCCTGACCAGTTCACCACAGTGCGACTCTCCAAGAGTACAAAAGACTTCATCCGATTTGAGGGTGAGGCTGAAACCCGAAGTTTGGTTCAGATCCTGAAAGCCAAGTTACATGGGAAGATCATCAAGCTAAATGGTTTGAAAACGGACTTGAAAGTAGTGGCTACAGATGCCCAGGGAGAGTGGGAACACTTCCCCAAAGAGAAAGAGGCCTCGGTGACTGCGGGAGCTGAAGAACAAGAGCATGCCAAGAGTCCAGATTCCATCTATTTTGAAGGCTTGCCCTGTAAGTGGTTCGCACCTAAGGGCTCCAGTGGAGAGAAGCCCTGTGAAGAGATCCTTCGCGTAGTCTTTGAGAGTTTTGGGAAGATCAAGAATGTGGATATCCCCATGCTCGACCCCTATAGAGAAGTCATGACAGGTGGGAGCTTTGGGGGTTTTAACTTTGGCTTGCAAACATTTGAGGCCTTTATCCAGTACCAGGAGTCAACTGACTTTATAAAAGCCATGGAATCCCTTCGAGGCATGAAGCTCATGCTTAAAGGAGACGACGGCAAGGCTCTGGCATGCAACATTAAGGTAAGAAGGATCCAGACCTCAGTTTCCATTGTTCAAGTGATCCTGAGCCTGAGCTGGGAAGAAGCATCTAAGTTACATGTCTTTAGATTCCACTAGGGTCTGAACAATCATTGCTGCACAGATGCATGCTCTCATTTATACATGTCTGTTTAGGAAGAAAACCAATCTTAATGTGAAGACCCAACTTGTGAAAGCAGTAGCTCACCTGCTGGGGTTTTACAGTGATGGTTCTTATCACCTGGGTCTCTGCTCAAGCTTTGGGAGGGCAGTAAAAGATTGGTCGTGCCTCCCTCAGAACTGTTGCATATGAGTATTGTACTTGACCATTTGCTGTGAGAGGGAGTCCTGAAGTCTGAAAGCGCAAGGAGAGCGGTTCTCTCCCTCATTCCATTGAATCAAACTCCTGAAGGTCTGTGTGCTTTGCTTTGAAAACCAGCCTGTGTGTCTAGGCATGTCACTTCATTGATGTCTGGAATTGCTTTGGTCATCTTCCTATTTTATTTGCATTCATCAAGAATTATTTCAAGGCCTGAAAACATTTTGACCTATCAAAATGGAACTGCTATAATTTTTTTATAATATATAAGCACGACATAAAAGCTTTAAAATATGCACAATTAGCTAACACCTAAATAATATACTATTTTTTTAGAAAGCAATGACTATTTAGCAAAATATAATGTGCCAAAAATATAAAAGCTTGGAGCTGGAGAGCTGCCTCCCCATAATTAAAAGCACTGGATGCTCTTGCAGAGGATCCAGGACCCAGGTTTGGTCCCCAGGACCCACATGGTGGTTCACAAGCGTCTGTAATATAGTTTCAGGGGATCTGAAGCTCTCTTCTGGCCTCTATGATTACCAGGAATATAGGTGGTGCACAGAAATAGAGCAAGCAAAATAGTCACGCACGTAAAATAACAAGTGTGACACCCTAAATGACAACATCGTTAGGAACAAACATAAAGCTGCTTTATCCATTCTGGGTTGACTTTTCAATTGTCACACAAAGCCACTAATAACCGAGCCTTCTTTTAGATAAGGGATTTATAGCACTAAACACTTTATTTTCAGCTAGATATGGAAGCCTGTGGCTTTTATCTCAGCACTTATGATATGGAAATAGAGGATCAGGAATTCAAAGGCAGCTTGGAGTCTGTGCGACTCAAGTCTCCAAGAAAACAGTAGCTGGTGCTGGGGATAGGAGTGGGCTGCTGGATGCTTACCTAGCATTCACAAGCCCTAGGTTCCGTGGAGAAATTTGGGTTCATTGCTAAACTTTTTGATGTGTGAACTTATGATAATGTAGTTTATTGCTTTTTCCACTTCTTTTGTATTTAAAATATGTAGATACAAAACCAAACATGTACTATATATATATATATATCCATAGTCAAAGTTTATTTTGTGTTTATGTATATATTATGTATATAAATGCACCAAGATTTCTCCATGACTTCATTCTTGTTCTCTGAGTTGTAATTTTCTTCTACAGATTTTATAAATGCTTACTTTCATCAATAATTATATTTTATTTGTGCATCTTAGAAATGATTTATAATGTGGTATTTTTTAAAATTACCTTCTATATACTTCACTCTCTACCCTTCCATCTGTTGCTGAAATGAACTAGAATATAGGGAACTATCTGATGTGGCTCCTAAATATCCCAGGATTTCTGCCTATTTGTATAGCCAAAGAACCCAATTGGCTAAATGTTAATAGTTAGTAGGAGCAAAAACACAAGGTATTTTATAGCTCAACTTTATATCTCAAGCTGCAGAAAACTATCTAGTCTAGTATTAATTTATATTGGGAATATACAACTAGGATAGTTTAGGGATGCTGGAACATATAATCATATTAAAATAACTTTCTAATTGTTTCAGGGTTTAATTGGTTATTAATATTTCAAGGGGAGAAAGAACTAATTTGCATTAATGAACTGGCACACATAAATGGATGGCTGTTTTCGCTTATGCATTTATTTAATTTGTTTTGGGACGAGCAGGCCTGAAATTCACACTGGTACAGCTCAAGTCTAGCTTCAAGCTTGCAGCCCTCCTGCTGCAGTCTCCTGAATGCGGAGCTTTCAAGCACGCATCACCACACCTGGCCTGTGTGTTCACTTAAATCCTACAGACCCACAGAGTGCAGTGCAGGCCCACACTTAGTCACGATTCATACTGTGATAGAACAGAACAGTATAGACGTATTCTCTTCAATGTACAATTGCAGGCTATTCCTAATGGGAAAAACTGACAATCTTTTCAAACTAGAAAGAACCAAAGAGAAGAGCGGTATTGAAGGAAAAGAATATCTACCGTTTTGAAAAGGAGAAAGATGTATTACAAAATACAAAACAAGATCTGCAGAACAGAAAGACACCTGCCTTTGGCAAACAAACAAAACCCTCTGATAGACAGGGAATCTAGGCCACTTGGAATTGAGGACGCACCACCCAGACACGGAGACAGTACAGTGAACTGCCCTCGCAAGAGAAATCACTAAAACAAAACCCACAAAAGTCCTCTTGCCTGTAGTTATGTACCAATGCACAAGATAGCAAAACTTCCAGTCTTGGTTTTCCTTCTTAGGCTTAGAGTGAATTATCAAGCACCTGTTGATGTATTTACTTTCCCAGCTCCCTCGGTTTCTCAGCGTATGCTATACAAGTACATCCATCCTGGTATTTCACCGTCATAATTTTGGTTCTTGTCTCAAATCATTGACTCGCTTTTTGTAAACATCATCTTTTTTTTCATTTTAATGCACTTACTGTATTTCTAGTGATTCATTTTAATCAACTTACTGCATTAAAAGCTTCTTAATTTGAAATGAGATTTTTGTACTGTAGTAGGATGCGTTAGACCAAGCAACTGAAGCCCAGTAGAGTAACTACATCCTATTGTTTAATTTGCAGCTAGAGGAAAATGCTTGCCTTTAAAAATACTATCAAGATGAGCCTACATAGTTTATCAACAGCGAAATACTAGGAAGCAGTGCATGAAGAAATAAGGTCATTTTTCATTCATGGCCATTCATGATTTTATTTTTAGAAACCTGGAAGAAATGTTCATCTTTGAGTTGTAAATATTCTGGTAAATCTAGTCATTTAGTTGTTTCTTCAATCTCAAAGTTCTTTTCTGGGCTGAGGTAGGCAACAGTGGATTGCCTCTTTGAAGGGATGCCCAATATGTGTTTCTAATGGACTTTGTCACGTTCTTGCGCTATGGGTTCCAGTTTTGTATTCACAACCATCTTATGGGCATTTCCACTTCCCACATCAGAGAAACAATAATAAGTGTCAGTCTACCAGATAAACTGGAAATTGGTTCTGGAAAAATTAGCTGTGGCAACATCCAGCTGCTTGGAGCTGCAGCAGAAGCCTGGCAGCACTTGGCCTAGGCAGAAGTATAGCGTCTTTTAGGCATTCAGCAGGTTTCCAGCGGGTTTATTGTGAACCATTCGCTGGGAGCAGGGACTGTGGCCTGATCCATACATCCCATGGAAGCAATAAACTCAAACAAGAACTCTGCATTTCCAGGTTTGTTGTATACTAGCCGGATTGCACCAGTAGCACAGGCATGAGCCCATGCTGACCCGAATAGCTATCCGTAAGAGGCCCGTCGATTATCACCCTGAAGTCCTAACCCAGCAATGGAAAAGACGCAGCTAGATTCTTCTCGAAACCAGTCTTTGGCATGAATTTGCACTTTCAGTTTCTAGTGCCTGTGTGTATGTCATTTGTATGTGTGTGTGCGTGTGTAGTCGCTTGTGTTAGGAGGAATCATGGCTATGAATATATTGTTTTCATGTATATTTGTTTATTTTTTGCAATAGTGGGCATACAACCCAGGATTTTGCTAAGGCGAAGCAAGTACTCTGTCACTGGGCTACATCTCCAGTCCCTTTGTGTGCGTTACAATGACTAGCTCTCTCTCTCTCTCTATCTCTCTCTCTCTCTCTCTCTCTTTTTATTATTTGTGGTGGACATCAAACTAGAGGCCTCCTAAATATTGATGAGCTAACACAGCATCTGCTTCTGTGCTAGTCTATAAGCATATCTATGTATCCCACTCATTATATTTCAAGCTATGAAATATAGGTTGATAATCTGATCTCATTAGGTTAGTTTTCTTGTCTCTTTCCTGCCTACCCCATTCCTTGCCATGCTCATTTTTATTTCTACTGACCACATTTTATTAAAATCAACCACAACAAATCGATCCAGTTGGTGTTTTGGGTTTACTAGAGGTAATAGATTTCTGACCTGTCCCTAGACTGCCCTGTGACACTGCCCGTGGTCATCTGTGAAGTAAGTTGCTACCTAAAAAATTTAAGACAGGAAAGTAGGAGGGGGCTAGTTGGGAAGGAGGTGGTATTTGTTGAAGTGGAAGGGTAATAAGAGAGGGCAAGGAGGTGACAATGTTCACAATACAGTACAACTGTGTATGACATTGTCAGACATTAAATTAAAAAGTAACCAAAAATATTGCTATAGAGTTAAGTTTAATCGAATAAAATTATGAGGGTAATTTGATACACTCTTTTAAAGAACATCCCAGTGCCTCCAAGTACTACTCTTCAGATCTTGGCCCATGAGCAGCTGTACACCGTGGCTGGGCTTCAAAGGGGCATATTGAATTCTTTGGTTTTGAATTGCTGTGTGCCATCTTAGCTTCCTCTCTCTCGTCTGGGCTCCATCCAGTCCAGTGGCAAGACTTTCTAAGAAATCTTTCATCTGTTTTTGGAGCAGGTTATGTTTGATACAACCCAGCATTTCAGTGAAGGAGCTATCCAGAGGAGAAATCAGGAAAGGCTAAAATTGCAAGAGCTTGAGGAAGAGAGGAAAAAAGAAAAGAAGAGAGAAGAGGAAGTAGCTGAAAGGTAAGTAGACTGGTTTTTAACAATGAAGAGGTTTTTCCTTAGGAGTTTTTGGATTCATTCATTTGGGCGAATAGATTTGTTAGATAGCATGGAGGTGAGGGCAGACTTTGGCCCAAGTGGAAAACTCCATCACAGACAGTCTTAGAAAGTGCAGGTGATAGAGTAGATGAAAACAAGAAACCAGAAAGGCATTCCTGGAAGCAAGAACAAGTAATGAGGGAGACTAGCTAGATTAAGAAGTTGGGGGAAAGAGATTTTAAGAGAGAATGGGGAACTTCAGCATTGGGGTTTGAACCCAGGGCCTTGCACTTTGCTAGGCAAGCATCCCGCCTGTGGACTTGTGGGCTATAGTCAGGATCTGAAAGTTTGTAGTGACAATCCTAAACTTATTGAGTTAGAAATTTTATTACTTTACCAGTATTATCTAACCTACCAATTTAAAATAAAAAAAAACACAGTTCTTGGAAAGCTTTCTTTCTCTAAAATGATCAAGAATCAAAGTAACCCAGAATAATGAATTTGTTGGAACCATGTTTCTCGTTGACCAGAATTCTTACTGTGAATTTGAGGCACTTCCGTTTTCTTTCTTCAATCTTAGCATTAGTTACCCATCTTAGAGCTCAAGACTAGCTGAATATTTGCCTAGCTAGACCATTGCCAAACTCTGCTAAGGAAAGACAGATACCAGCTTTATGGGGCTATGATAACCCATTTCTTAACATTCTGGCCCCTTCTGTTTTATGTCAATCATACCATTTTTAAAAATATCAGGGACACCATTCTACATGTCTCTCATGTTTTTGATTGTCACATCCAGGGAATTTGGCCAGAGCTTCAGTCGCTTCAAGATACTTATTTCTCAAATTCCAGGCCACAGATCCCCTTAGATAAAAAATCCTTTATTCTTTGGCTAAATCCTGATGCGGGTAATTGCTCTTGGTTTCTTCCCACAGTTTCACGAGTCTCACTTTAATTTTAGGGTTCCTTTAGTCCCTGTATCCTCTCTAGCGTCTGTTATTTGTTTTCTGTACAACATCATTCTGACAGAGATGAAATAGCATCTTAGTGTAGTTTTAAGATGCATTTAATTTTTTATGTGTGTGTGTTTGATATATATATATATATATATATATATATATATATATATATATATATACTATGTGTGTGCATAGTACCTGTGGAGGCCAAAAAGGATGTCAGGACCTCTTGAGCTACAGTTACAGACCCTTGTGAGCTGCCACGTGGGTGTGGGGAACTGAACCTGGATCTGTTGCTAGAGCAGCCAGTGCTCTTATCTGTTGAGCTATCTCTTTATCCCCTTCTTAGTGTGGTTTTAATTTGCATGATGATGGCTATTAGATGTTGTTTCATTTGTCTGTTTTCCATTTATCCTCCTTTTGAGAATTGTCTATTCATTCATTTGTTCACGTATTAACTGGATAATTTGATTTTTGATGGTTAATTTTTAAAGTTCTTCAAATATTCTGTATGTTAACTCCTTTGGATACATACCTGGAAGAGCTTTTCTTCTATAGGCTCTCTTTTCTTTGAGAAGAAATATATATGTAAAATATTAGAGTAAAAATGAGGAGACTGGAGAGATGGCTCAGTGGGTTAGAGCACTGGCTGCTGTTCTAGATGTTCTGGGTTTAATTCCCAGGACCCATGCATTAGCTCCTAACTGTCTGTAACTCCAGTCCCAGGGACAATTACACCCTCTTCTGGCCTTCAGGGGCACCAGGCACACACATAGCATGCCGCCAAAACATCCATCCATACACACTAAATGAATGAATAAATAATGGTGACCTATTGGAGTAGCTTCTTTCTGGGTGCTCTTATATCAAAGCTGAAGTCTCCTACCTTCATACTGTACAAACAGGGGTTGAATCCAAATCTGTCAAGGCCAGTTGTTAATTGGATCTACATTCACTTTAGGGGTTTTCCCTTTTTGCATTGCTACAAAGGGTAGGGCCCACCCACGGCTATGTTCTTCCCAGTCTGAGCCTTGTCCTGCGTGAACCTCTCAGCATGGCATATTAATCGCAAATGGTAGGCCTCCACTCACAATGACACCTGGCTATAGCCTTCCAAGGTAGGAGCTCTCAGGAGGAATCCTTGTCACACTTAATCCTCCACCTGGACTTCAGGCTCGTGAGAACTGCCACCTTCTCTTGTGGTTGGGCTTGTTGCATAAGAGCGGCTCCCTGGCTAGTTTACACCTGAAATAACAACACACAAATTGTATTCATTTAAACACTGCCTGGACCATTAGTTCTAGCCTCTTACTGGCTAACTCTCACATCTTGATTAACCCATTTCTAATAAATCTGTGTCGCCACTTGACTGTGACTTACCAGGATGAGTCTAACCGGTGTTGGTTTTGGGAAGGGGAATCATGGCGTCTGCCCAACTCTACTTTCTTCCTCCCAGCATTCTGTTCTGTCTTTCCTGCCTACCTATGTTCTGACCTATCAGGCCAAGCAGTTTTCTTTATTAATTAACCAATGAAAGCAACAGATAGAGAGAAGATCCTCCTACATCAAGGGCTTACTGTATTTGAGAATCCAGGTTCCCCTCCCATTCCATTTTCTGCTGTCCTAGTTTTGTGGTTTCAGACCATATCCCCCTTTTCTGCCTTCAGAATAGAACCTGCTGTTCATTTTTTTTGCCTGTTATCCTTCATGGCATCACATAAAAGTGCCAAAGCTCTTTTTCCTTTACTTTCTTTCCTCCCTCCTTCCCTCCCTCTCTGCCCGCCTCCCTCCCCACTTCCTTCCTTCCCTATCCAAAAGATATCTTTTATACATTTGTATTTTGCCAAAATTATTGTATTTTTCCCTTGATGTTTTGTGGATTTTAGGGGGCAAGTGTTTTATTTCTTTTGTATATATGTGCTTGTACAGAAGCATGTATGCAACATGTGCATGTATGTGTGTGCGCGCGCACACGCATGTGTGCATGTGTGTGTAGGCTAGAGGACCTCAGGTGTCATTCCTCTGATGCTGTCCACCTGTTTCTTTGAGAAAGGATTTTTGCTGACTTGTAACTTGCCAAATATGTTAGACTATCTGGTCAGTGCATCCAAGGGATCTACTTGTCTGTACCTCCCCGGCTCTGGGATTAAAGGTGTACCCACTGTGCTAACTCAGGTTCTTGTATATACAAGGCAATCACATTACTGATTGAGCTATCTCCCCAGCCTCTGGCTGTTATCATTTTACCATGAACTGTCAATTCTTGGTTCTGAGGTTACCAGTCATAGGTTTCTGGAAGCCTAAATGATTACATCTTCTTGGTGGGGGGGGGGAATGGAAGTGAGACCCAGTGGCTAATAATTATTGCTCAAATGATGAATTTTAATTGTCATCCAGAAAAAGAAAAGATGAAGTAAGGAAAGCCCAAGAGAAGAGAAAGAAGGCCAGGGACAGGAGGCGATCTCTGAAGGAAAGAGACAGACACCGGCCAAGGAAGGAGAAGGTGAAAGCCAAGGCTGAGACTCGTCAGGAGCTGGACTCTTCAGAGGAGTGGGAGGAGAGGAAGTACTTGCTGGCTCAGCGGCGGGTTGAGGCCCTTCGATTGCTCCGGGTACTCCTGAAGAAAATTGCGGTAAGGCTGTTTCCCAATTATTCTCTTCAGTGTTGATAGGTACTGGACTTTCTTTGACTTTAAGTACTGTCTCACTAAAATGAACTGTGTGGCAGACTTGTGGCGAATGCCACAAGGGGTTTCCTCGAAATCAATGACTCTCACGTAAGCTCAACCACGGATTTCCAAAACCAGTCTCTCAACCAGTTTTGTCTTAGCTCTGCCCTCACTTCGTGTTTCTCAACTTCAGGATGGTATTCCGAACACTTAAGCTACTTCATCTTCTTTTCCAAGTTCCTAGTGGATCTGACGGGGCAATGCCAGGGGAAGCAAAGGGTGGGTGTGGCGTGGGCGTTAGATCCGTGGGCTTCTATTAACTTTATCCGTCCATCCATCTGTAACAGGTTTGGATGAAAAGGGAGAAGATGCTTGAGCCTTGTCAGGCTCATATTAGCCTTGTCCTGAACTATCTGGTAAGGAATTTTTTAACTCACAGGTTAGTTATCTTCTTCACAGATTCTCGCCTCTCTAAGATCTTTCTCTCCCTTTATGGGCTCGCAGGGCTAGCCAGAATCACAGATATCTTGGACTGGAAGCCAGCGATGTTTTGGAAGTATCCATGTAGCAGTGCACATGCAGTGCTTTTAAATCAGAAGGATGACAGCTGCTCCTGTGCTTTCGAGTGAACTTCATGTCGTATTTGCCATGTTGATCTCTGCCTTGTTATTATAGATAGCTTGACTTGGTGAAAGCAGGATCAGTAAAAAGTAATCTCGTGCTTGGATTATTGATAGCAGGCCCAGCTAGATTGGATTTTAGTTTACCTTAATGATGTCCAAGTGGGACTCTTTTTGTAGAATCCACCTCTTTAAATGGGCATGGAACCTAATTCTGGAACCTGTTAATACTTACACTGATTACAAATTGAGAGTGGGGCGCTGGGCCCTGATGTGTGACAGACATCAGGGGGACCATGCAGCAAACCTTCCTGGGGATGGGGTTGCAGGCATCTTTGTTCCCCTACTCCTCAGCTCTGCGGAACAGATATCATCGGACTTGACCACAGGCAAATCGGTGGGCACAGCTATATTGTCTATTTGGTGCTTGGCTCTTTTTTTCTTTGTAAGGTGCAAGTGTTACACCACTGAGCTGTGTCTCTGCCCCCCATCTTCCATCTTTGTGAGGCAGGCCGGGTGACTCAACTCTGAGACATCCTCAACTTACAATCCACGGGCAAAAGTTTGCAGTACAAAACAGAGAGACTTTCATTAGTTCAGTTGACCTTGTTGGACATGTTTCACCCATGTGTCGTTTCCTGTGCTAGGGTTTTCTGTGAGGGCAACAGAACGTTCCTTATTTCTCTTTGTAAAACAGTAGACTGGTCGATTTTTGAACAAATAAAAAGAGCAAGGTACTTTAAATGCCATGTCATAAGAATGGTCACAGGTTTAGTAAAAACATTTCATATTAGATCAAGACATTTGATGTACTACTGTCTCCTCAGTACAATAGTGTTCCTAATTTGGACCTACTCTGGGTTTCTTCAGAGCAACACCAGCTCAGTTTTTGGAAGATTTCAATCTCTTTGTGTTTTGTTTATGTTTATTTACTTATTTTGTGTGTGACTGGGGAGGGGCAGCATGCCACAGTGTATGTGTATGGAGGTCGGAGGACGACACCAGAGAGTTCTCTCCCCTCTCACGTGTGGGTTCCTGGGTTGGAACTCAGGTCTTCAGCCTTAGTAACAGGCACCTTTACCTGCTGAGCCATCTTGCTGGTCCTCTTTGGGTTTTGATGAGAGATCATTAAATCTTTTTTTTCTTTAAAGGGATCCACGCAGTGTAACCCTCAGGAGGTTGATGTTCCAAAGCCTGAAGTGCAACACGCCCCAGGGACTGCATTGAAACCTCCAGAGGAAGAAGAATTAAGCACTCTGCAGGAAGAAATGCCGAGTTCTCAAGTTCCCAAGTCTGACAATAAACAAAAACAAAAAGTGAAGAAAAGAACTAAAGCCCAGTTACAGAAATCTTCACATAGCCCTGGAGTGAAACAAGTAAGAGACTCAACCAGAAAGGAGTTACCTGATGAGTACCATTACAGTTTGGTCTCTGACCAGAATTCCTTGCAGAGTACAGCAAATCCAGACCAGTCCCTTGAAAAAGAAGACTGCAACGACAGAAGTTCTAATGAGTCATATTCTTCTAGACAAGTTGTGATAAACCATGGCAGGAAACAGAAGATCTATGAAACAGATGAATTTATTGACTATCTATTAAACTATTATCAGACTCCAGAATATGCCCGATTCTGCCTCGACGCGAGTCACCTAACAAGTACATGTCAGTGGCAGAGAGACGTCTACGCTAAGGGGGATGGATTTCAGGTCAGTCTGAGAAAGCATAGCTGCCACTCGACCAGTCTGAGTGAAGAGGAGAGCCTGGAAGGGAAAGACCAGGATCAAGACGGGGGCTGGCCAAAGGAGTATATGAAGGATCTCGAGACCGAGCCAGAAAACACAGGGAAGACCAATTATACCAAAGAATTTTTTAAGAAATTAAAAAACCATTGCAATGACATGGCAAGTGAAACTGAAGATCACCTGTCCCCAAATGATGGAGAAAGCTATCCTGTGGAAAAGATTCACAACCACAGAGTCAAAGATTCTCACTACGCAAGAAAAAGTCCAGTTTCTTCATCATTAAGGTCAGCAGACGTAGGTTTGTCATTGGCAGACTTCTTGGAGGAAATCAGTAGTGATTCTGAGTGCTTCACTGAAACCCTTAGCGTGAACGAAGAGGAGGAAGAAAGATCCATGGCTGTCTATGATAGCTCCCCTGAACGAAGGCCTCTCGACACTGACAAAATCATTACTTGCCGGCAGAAAACTAGGTCAAGTCAGCAGGCCTTGAATTCAGCGTGGAAACCCGACAGTGAGGAAAAGCGCTTTAGGCACAGAGTAAGGGCACCAGGTAAAAGGTCCAAGTATGAACTGCGATATTCGTGGCTTGAGGGTGGATGGGATTCCATTCGAGTTCACAAGAACACAGGCAAAACTAGAGAAAAAATAGACCCCAGCCCTGTGTTTGATGAAGGCTACTACCACGAATCCAGTTCCAGTGATGAATTAGAGAGCATCTCAAGAAAGAGGAGGAGAGTTACTGGTAGTATGTTTGGCCAGAATGTGAAATACAGACCCCTTTATATGCCATTAATGCCACCAAAGCGTGCTAGAGCTTTATATTTGGGATACTTCTCCAGAAAAAGGCAGAACTCTTGGAAGTCAGAATATAACCAGGCTGTAAGAAGGTTTAAAAGATATGGCATGCTTGATGCTGGTCATTATTATGTCGGTCATGATGACAACCAGGACCACATTGAGTACGGAGGCTACTTAGGAGACAGCTACTCTGGCTCTTTGTATTTGAAAATGTTTTGATGGCCACTCTGATCAGGAACACCCTTATTTACAAGAAACAACTGACACAAACAAAAACTTCAGACCAAATAGAGCTATGTTGTTAGCAACCACAGAACAAGAACTAGAAGAGGGTCAAGTGCACATACTTGTTCCTCTTGCCAAAGTTTCAAGTGGGAATCGAAATGCCGCAAGCTTTGGGAATGGGGAACCTGTAGGTTCTGAAGCTTGGTGAAGCAAAGTCATTGCAAAACTTCATGATCCAAGGACAGATTTTATTTGAAGCTTTAATTTGGTGCCAGAAAGGAGCAGACTAGCATTAAGAAGGCTCTTTTGCTGTCAGAATGGCATCATCATCTGTCTTCAAAGAGCATAGTGGTGGACAAAGAGGCGTCCTTTCATGTGTTCTAGATTTGGTAAGAAGCAGTATGTATGGTAACAAATGTTCCTGAATTTTACTTCACAGTAGTTCTAGATAAAGGAGAGATCCAGAGGCTAGAACTTATAATAGATTTCATGGCTTTAGAGTTTCGTGGATACCCACCAGAAGGAAATGAATATATTCACAGCTCTCAAAGAAGAAGAAGAAGAATCTAAAAGGGGCTGATTGCCCTTTGGTGGTTAAATAGATGAGACTGTTAGAATTTTTCTTGTTTGTTTTATGAACCCCATAGCTTTCTATACAAAAGCAAAGCACCAGGATTGAATTTATAAAATTAGGGGGATTTGCAAAAGGAAATATCAAAAAATCCTGGAGCATCAATAATGGCACTTGGGAAGAAAAATTGTGACAGTATTCTATTTCAGGCTATGTAATCCTTTCACTCAGGGTTGGGTGACATCAGTTTGTAAAAAGTCACTGAATATCCCCCAAACTGACTTTTATAAAAACAGTAGCAAGTGCCTCCTCTGCCCTTAACAATGCCATGGAGTTAGGAAGGATTAAAAGAGAAGTCCATAGTTTTCTAGCTGTGGAAGAGTTGTAAGAGTGCAGAATTTGTAAACCATGTGAAATAAGCGATTGATCTTTTTTGCCGACTCATTTTGGAATTCTTAAATATATTTTTAAATTGAGATATTTGTAGATTCCCCTTAGTGCAGTGCGTGTTCTGTAGACAGCCTGGCCAACTCTTTCTGCCTTACATTGGTTCAGGACCTTCATTTTCCCAACAAAGCTCTACCTGACCTGGCAATTGCCCAGTGAATTAGAGATTGCTTGCAACAGGAATAGCTGTTTGGAATCCACAGAACCAGTGAAGGGCAGCAATTCATTTCAGTCTCAAGTGGACATTCAGCAGGAAGGCATCTGCTAGCGGAGGCGGGTAGCGTACCAGTGGATGGGGTTACTATCGTGTCTCACATTGTGTGCCCATCCACTGCCTCTTGAGCAACCCGGTGTCTGAAGTGGTTACAAAATTGTATGATTTGCCTGAAGTAAAAGCCACAGGTTGTTTGATTGATCGAGCTGCGTATTCCTATTTGAAGAGAGATCTGTTCAGGCGCCTAAAAGCTGAGAAAGGAATGTAACAGATCCCTGTGTGTTACTAACATAAAACCAGGTGAATAGTGTGCTGTCTCTCATGTTCAGTCTCACTTGCAAGCCAATGCTTGGTTTTACTGTTAAAGCTAGGTTTGACTTGTCCCGTCCAAAAGATTGCTCACGGGTTGAGAGTGCCTTTTTTTTTTTGTTGTTTCGTTTTGTTTTTGAGGACTAGCAATGGCTCTTCATGACTATTCGTGGTCAAAGTACTGTTGCCCAAAGTAGCCTTCGAAATTACCAACAACTTAAATTTTGTCAGACAGTTTTCTGGCAACATATTATTCTCCTCCAAGAAAAATTGGCCAACACCCCCCCCAACACATTTTATTCCATTGTATTTATGGGCTTGTATTAGAAAACAGCTGACCGTTTTCAAACAAACAAAACCCACTCAATTTCTTCTCTCGTTTGTTTGCTATATTTTCTTGAGAGATTTTAGGCATCTTTGCTTGGTAGCAAAGATAAGAATCAGATTGCAGAGTTGAGCAGCATGTGCAGTTTGTTCTGTCCTAGGTGTGGCGCTAAGTCATTTTGATGTGGCCCTCTTCTGTTTGATTTGTTTGTTGAATGCTCTCCTGGGGCCTACAAGTAAAAATGCCGCTTTTGCTGCCCCCTGTGAGTTCTGTATCTATCTGTGGGAATGCATTGTAGATTTGTGTCAACCCCTTTTTGGTATAGGCCTTACAAGAAACGTAATAGCTTACTTTGTGCTTGTCACTCCGTGACTTAGGAAAGAATGTAATGGAACAAACTGTTACGACTACTTTTCTTCTTGTTATTTAAGTTGTGAAAAGTATTTTCTCGTATCTTTTTTTTTGTCTTTTCAAACAGGGGCCTGAGTTTTTTGAGTTAAATAGGGGTTTTCGTATGCTTTCCTTGTATGTGCTGCTTATCTGATAAGGGAAAGTCTATAAATGTACTCTGTTCATTTGTATGAATTTCTCAGGTAGAAAGCCATGTAACCTAGGTAATTTGAAAACACAACCAAATCCATGTGCTTTTGTTGGAAAACTGTTTAACGTGTTGATTTTAAAATAAATAGTAATTGATTCCACTTTGGGGGGAACTTTCTATCTGTAGTATGATATGTTGCACTAATGTTGCTCTTTTTGCTTATTTGCATTGTTAGAGAAATGATGCTTATTTCATTTTAATATATTCAAAAATAAAATTGTTAAGAGTGACAATGGTGACTATTGACTGATCATTGGGCTGCCTTGATTGATACTCACCCTAACATTTGCAGACCATTCCAGTATTTTTATTCTACTCCTTTTTGATAGGAGCTGGGTCTGCCAGAGTTGCTAGGACTAAAAGCCAGTTTGTTTTTCATTTTGGATGAACTTAAGCCATACTTAGACTCAAAATTACCCTCCTCTAGGTACATCTAAGCTTAGTTTTGAAAATGTCATACAGGTATACAATGAACTATGTTCTAATGTAAACTCCCCACTTTTCTCTTCCATCTCCCCTAGTTTTCTTCCCTAATATACTCCTTGCCAATTTAATGCTTTATTTATTTTGATAACCCACTACGTCTAGTTAGTGCTGTGCATATGTGCATGGGCCATCCACTGGAGCATGGGAAACTTACCAGAGGCCATACCCTCAAAGAATGATTCCCCTCCCCAAGCAACTGGCCCCTGCTAAGAGATCCTCAGTACAGGGTGGGGCCTGGAGATCATATATACCATCTATACTGGGATTTTGACTGTCTTGACCTTGGCCAGGTAACCACAGCTGCTTGAGTGCATGGGAGAGTGCTAGTCATGTCATGTCCAGAAGGTAGCATGTCACAGTGTTCTTCTATGTCCTCTGACTCTTATCTTCTTTTTGCCTCCTAAGTGATGACCCCAGAACCTTAGTAGTGATGGTGGGTGTGGTTAGTAGAAATCTCCTGTTTTAAGATAAACACACAATACATCTTTTCAAGACAGGGTCTCACTTGTAGCCCAGGCTAGTTTTGAACTTCTGATCCTTCTGCTTCAGCCTCCCAAGTGCTGGGATTATATAGGTGTGTGCCACCATGTTTGGCACAGTATGTTTTATCACGGCTGTTAAATGGTAGCAAAATTGACTCTATGGAATTTAATTTCATCTCATTCCCTCAGTTGTGTGTGAAACTTAAAATTTATGAATGTCCAAAAATAAATGGATGTGGAATGGGGAGTTTAGTCCAAGAAGCTTAGGCCCATAATTTGTCTTTGATCATTCAAGAGTTAACTGTATTTGTACATAAACTAGCAAACTGCTTCAAAGTATTATATAATGAAGATATAGACTGTACCTTTAACTCTGGGCACTTTAGGGCTGTTAATGTTCCTTGCTGGGTTTCATAAGCTCTTTCTAAAACATTAAGGACTGTATGGATGCTTGTTCTGAATAATAAACAGGCAACCCATGTCCCCAGGCAGGCTGACGACAGGCTAGTTAATGGCTTCTCTCCTATGGGCAGCATAAATTGAACTTGTTTATGAAAAAAGAGGCCATATTGTAGGGAAGGGATCAGAGTGAGTCTGGGAGGGTTAGGGGTAAAGTGGGGCTGTGTGTGGATATGATCAAAGCGCAGGGCATGTATGGAATTCTCAAATAATAAAAATATCTAGGAAAATAAAAGCCAAATACTCCTGCCACAAACCCCCAAACTTCCTTAACACTTGGTAACCCCAGTGTCTTCCATAGTAATAGTTCTTAATAACATTGTTCTGAACTTCAGTTTAGAAAGCTGACCCAGAGGCAGAATTTGACAAGTCTCAATATTGTTCAGTCTTCCTGCCTCAGTTTCCTGGTGCTGGGATTACACGGCTCTTAGTACACATAGAAGTCTAACACCCAAAAGTTAAACTCAATTTTAAGTTAAAGTCAAATGACTATATCTGCTGTAACTATTAAAATTTATCTTCTTGAGAATTTTACACATGATTACAATGTGTTATGACCGTATCTGAACTTCAACTCTCCTGGACCCTCCCAAACATGTCCCTTAGTCTTTAAACAAATACTCTACTACATCTAAATTGGTGCTGCCCGTACGTGTGTGAGTACCAGGCGCTGGAGAATGAATACTCTACTAGTGGCCACACCTTCAAAGGAAATTGACTCTTCCCGCCTTATTTGTCATCAACTACAATAGCCCCTCAGATGGGGTGGGATTATGAGCCCCTCAGATGGGGTGGGATTATGAGCCCCTCAGATGGGGTGGGATTATGAGCTCCTCAGATGGGGTAGGATTATGAGCTCCTCAGATGGGGTGGGATTATGAGCCCCTCAGATGGGGTGGGATTATGAGCCCCTCAGATGGGGTGGGATTATGAGCCCCTCAGATGGGGTAGGATTATGAGCCCCTCAGATGGGGTGGGATTATGAGCCCCTCAGATGGGGTGGGATTATGAGCTCCTCAGATGGGGTGGGATTATGAACCCCTCAGATGGGGTGGGATTATGAGCTCATCAGATGGGGTGGGATTATGAGCCCCTCATAT